CCATCCATCCATCCATCCATCCACCTATGGTTCTAACTATCTATTGTTTCATCCATCCATCCATCCATCCATCCATCCATCCACCCACCCACCTATGGTTCTGTCTATCCTTTGTTCCATCCATCCATCCATCCATCTGTAGTTCTATCATTCCATCCATCCATATATCGGTCTATAGTTCTATCATTCCATTCATCCATATATCTGTCTATAGTTCTATCATTCCATCCATCCATGTATCTGTCTATAGTTCTATCGTTCCATCCATCCATCCATTTCTCACTCTATAGCTGCAAACAAATGGCTTTAAAAAACAATTTATCAAAAACTCAATCGGCTCATCTGACTTCTATTGCAATTTCTCCCATATTTTTTTTTCTACAAGTGGTCTTCCTCATAAACGAACCACTTCCTGTGATCCGAGGAGTGTGGCACCAGCTGTACGAGCCTTCGACTTCCTCTTGCCTTAAGCCCTCTTATCCGTCTTCCTTCGCTTGAAGGACTCTTGAAGTGTCTCTTTACCTCTTAAAAACAGCAGGTTTTAGTTTTTGAGGTGTGCGTGTGGCGAGGGCCCGTCCGATGGGACCTTCTCTGACTCGCGCGCACATGACATTTGCCGAACAGATTATGCAGTTAGTAATTTGCGCAATAATTACCGGGTGCTGTTGTCCTGGTGGCGGGGTGTGTCTAATTGTCTAACAGGACTGTAAGTTTGCGGGCCGTTCTCACCTCGTTAGGTCTCCTACCCCATTCGCCAGTCCTCGTCTGTGATGAGCAGGGCTCAGGTGTGCTGGTTTACCTCCCCATTGAGCACGTTAAGCCTTAATTACAGGGTAGAACAGGGGAGGAAAGAGGGGGGCGGAATAATAACTGACTTCCTGTCAGTGACGGGCAGATGGGTTCTGTGGGGAACTGTGGGATTTGGATGCGTCAGCCACACGGACAGACTGAAAAACAGATAAACAGAGAGACAGCGAGGTCGTGGGAGGGTGAGGAACAAAACACTAATGATCATTACTCTGAGGGGAATTATCTAGAAACAAGGTGAATCCAGCTGTCGGTTTGATCGCACCTTTGCGTGTGGACGTCCTGGACTCGCTCTGCTATGAAATCTACGGTTGTATTTTGTGATATTGATTTGTTCCATGCCGGTTTTCTCCCGGTTTTGTGTTGGATTGATTGTCTAACGTGGAGTTTTCCCTCTCTTTGTCTTCTCTTGCAGATTCTTTTTGAAATTCTTCCTCAAGTGTAACCAGAACTGCCTGAAGAATGCAGGAAACCCACGGGACATGCGCAGATTCCAGGTAATGTTTTCTTTTTCTCTCTCCACACACGCATCCTAATGTTAAAAACAGGCTTGCTGTGGTAGCTGTATGGTGTATCGGTTGGTGGATATATTTAAACGAACTGCCTGGACCCGGTCGAAGGCCAGAACTGTCTCCTCCAGAGATGCTTCGATTCTGCAATTCTGCTGAAGCACATTTAAGATGTTATACACATAAAAATAAAACCTCAGTATGTACTCTATCTATCTATCTATCTATCATTTCATAATTTTATCTATCATTCTGTCATTCTATAATTCTATCATTCTATACATATTTTCTTATATAAAGGTCTATACTCCACACATGTATCTAGGCTATAAATATCTACACTATTTTCATGCATTTATGGATGTACCATCCAATCACAGAAGGCATTATTAGATCCAGTACACAGAAAGGCCGCAGCATTGGACTTCATTATGTGTGTGTGTGTGTGTGTGTATGACAGCTCCGCTTAACCCAGTGCTGTGAGGATGTGTGTTTATATACTTGTGGTTATATAGATGTATTATCGAGCAGGCAACAGTGGTGCAGCCGTTTGCACAACTTTCATTTTTCATGCTTTGGGACGTCAAGTGTCTTCACTGATATTGATCCATGCTTACAGAGCAGAAGGTCAGAGCCGGTGTGAGAGGAAGTGTCCTTTCTGTCTGCACGCCGAGTAAAAGAAACATCCATCACCGCGGATGTGCCTCCCCACAATAAAGTCACTGGACCTCTCTTTCTCTCACTGTAACAGCATGTCTGGGTTTTCAACCTATTTACACTTCCTCTGCCTCAGCACCTGGTGGAGGTGTGTGTGTGTGTGTGTGTGTGTGTGTGTGTGTGTGTGGAGAACCATACTAATGCCACTGTATCCTCAAAGAGCACTCGTTTGTGTTCATTCACTCACTTTGACTTCTCTCTTCTCCATCAGTCGTTGCCTGTGAAATCTGTTCTTATCTCCTAAAAACTTCCTTCAAGGAAACATCACCCCTCACAACCAAAACATTCCCTTCTACACTCCACATTGTGGTGTTTTTACTCAAAATAATTTAAAGAACCCTGCGGGGAGAGCTTATGACAGCATCACTTTTCCAACCAAATTCCAACCAAAAGCAGCCTGTGAGATAAATGACCCAAAGCCATGATGCCTGTCAGTCTGTGAGCAGAGTCCATTAACAAGACACCTCTCCTCCAGCGCTAACCCTTAAACTCTGCTCTGCTAAGCTAAATGCCACCTCCAGAATAAATTTCACTCATGTTCCTTACTCCATGATCTCATGGCAAGGTCGTGCTTTTGGGGTCTCTGTCTTCCCCTATTTGCCATTCCATTTTCCTTCTCTTTTTTTTTCCTGTCGTCCTGTCTTTTCCTCTATTCTTCCTGTGAGAAGTATACATCTAGAGGTCTTTTTGACAAGACGGACATCCTCAATTATATTTAGTGCAAAAAAAGGCTTCTGAACCTAATTAGAAATATGTAACCACCATCTGTTTTTCTTTCCACTCCAAGTATTTTTTTTAATTATGTTTAAAAATAATAATTTATATTTTGTTTAATGATTAATACTATTTATCTAATAATTAATTTTTTTATTTATAATATATATTTTATTTATCATTATTATTTTATTTATTATTACATTATTTATTTTCCAGATTTGTGGTCAATTTTTAAATTATTTTGATGCTAAATAATTCATTTCAGTATCCAAACAGTACAAACAGTATCTATCCATTTTTGGTTCCGTTTTTTTTTTTTTTTTTATTCCAAATGAATTTTTTTGGAAAATATACATATATTTTAATTATTTTACAATTCGATTTTATTTAGAATCATTACCTTTTAAAATGTTATTTACTATTTGCATTTTCTATTCAGATTTTTGGTCAGTTTTTAAATTGGTTCAATGCTAAATAATTCATTTCAATATCCAAATTTTATCCAAGAGATTCGGTATTGCAAAAATAGTTTGTGAACATTAATTGCATCTTATTTGTTGTGAATAGGCCTCAAGTCCCATCCTTATTGTGACTCTTGACTGTGAACATGACAGAGGGAATATTCCAGATTGTAACTGCTACACTTCCACCTCGGACCCCCCACAACACCACAGCCCACCCCTCGAACCCCTCTCCTCATTCAGATGCTAAACGACCATCATTCTCTCAATGCAACTGTATGGGCAGCCCTCTTTAATAAACAGATCAACAAAAAACAAAGAAAAGCCCCTCATCTGCTACCAGAGGGGCTCTTCTCAAATTCTCTTTTTCTTTTGAGGATCTGCCACCCTTCTCCATCACGGCCCTTACTCAAGCTGTGACTAATAAGATAAAACAGCTAATCAATAAATCTATAGATCAATGTAATGGGGTGAGCTAGCGATCTGTGGGCCGGAGGTTGCGTTTGAGTGGCTGCTAATGGATGATGGAGCAGATGAGAGACTCTCCACATATTTCTGTTCACCTTAAGTGGCAGATTAAACACTAATTGTAGCCTTTTGTGGAAAAAAAGCCACAGTGTGGCTCTCTTTGATTGACAAGGGCTTGGTTAATTCTTCTCAGACAAGCCTCTCGTCCTTTATCTAACACGCACACTCATGTAACCGCCCAAGTGTCTCCTTTAAATAGGAAAAAAGAAGCTCTCCTTCTTACAAAGGTTAATTATATTCTTCAAATGAGAAATTAAATGCACTTTATATAGAGTCGATTCCTGCATGGCGGTTCGTTTGGAGAAAGAAATACAATGACCCTATTGCGTCCGAGGACCAGAATTAGATGATGTTAAACATTTTTCACCTTCATTAAGCGAATATAATTTCGTGTTTGACACCCAGAATTAGTGTACTCCATTTTTTTGGAAAAGTACAAAACCCATTTGCAAACATGTCAAATGTGTGCGCATTAATCTGATTATTTGAAGTGAACGTCTTTATTTGGAAGTTTCTAAGCAGATTTCAGCCGTAGCTAACAGTAGCCTGTTCGAATTCAGGCTGGGTCATTAGCAGTCAGACGGCGTGCCAGCTTACACAAAGCGTATTGAACCGCGCAAGTCATCTTTCGTTGCTTAAGGTGTGAAAACAGACTCTTTTTTCGGATTATAGTGATATAACTTATTGTTTTAATAATGTGAAGCCCGCGGGGAGCAGTTCCACCAAACCTAGTAAGACTGCAAAAGCGAGCAACTTTTCCCTTGTTTCGCTCCCTCCTGCTTGGCTTGGAAAATAAACAATGGGCACGGGTTCAAGCTCCAGCGCTTAGCGAGGCAAATGTGTTTGCGGTTATTGTTTCGAAGGTGTGGAGTGGTCGCACGGTTGTCAGCATTCAAAATAAAGCCTCACTGGTACGGAGGAGAGAAGTCTAACAAACAAAGCCACGAACGCGGTGTGTGTGGCGCGTGTGCGTCCGTGTCCAAAGGACCCTACTGATCAGAGGGGTGCTGGGTTCATCCGCTAACTGTACTGAGACCTCCTCTCATGTTGAGTCGACACCACAGGCCAAAAAGGCTTTTTGTGTTCGTTTTCTCGCAAATAAGACCCACAACAAAGAGGGAGCTGAAAAAAGAGCCTCGGTTTCTGATAAAGACCCCGCAGAACCCCTCAGAAGTGTCCTTGTTGTTTCTCTGGCCTTTAAGTACTCAGAAAGGCCTCAAGTAAAAAATAAATAAATAAATAAACAGGCCTGATATTTTTGGACGCCAAATGTTTCATTTAGTTGAATGAAGTCTTTTTGCATCAAGTTCATATTTTTTGGCAAGAAAAACATGTGCAACATGATTTTAATGTGAAATAATGGATTTCTGCAAACTCTATCATACCGAATTCAAAAATATTTGACATCTTCTGCATTTTTTTTTAATTTAGAACCGTTTTGAGTTTGTTTAAAATTTTATTTTTCAGTTTATAATATTTAATGTATTCAATATTATTTAGATCGTGATGGTTAATTTTTAAATACCAATTATTCATACCAAGTCAGAATTTTTCATAGGAATAATGTGAAGCAGTTCTTCTCTATGAACTTCTTCTTCACACATTGCCCAGAGATGGAACATGCCTTCAAACAATCCTTACATTTTCTTCACAGGTCGTTGTATCGACAACGGTTAATGTGGATGGTCACGTGTTGGCGATTTTAATGTGAAATAATGGATTTCTGCAAACTCTATCATACCGAATTCAAAAATATTTGACATCTTCTGCATTTTTTTAAAATTTAGAACCGTTTTGAGTTTGTTTAAAATTTTATTTTTCAGTTTATAATATTTAATGTATTCAATATTATTTAGATCGTGATGGTTAATTTTTAAATACCAATTCATACCAAGTCAGAATTTTTCATAGGAATAATGTGAAGCAGTACTTCTCTATGAACTTCTTCTTCACACATTGCCCAGAGATGGAACATGCCTTCAAACAATCCTTACATTTTCTTCACAGGTCGTTGTATCGACAACGGTTAATGTGGATGGTCACGTGTTGGCCGTGTCGGACAACATGTTCGTCCACAACAACTCAAAACACGGCAGAAGAGCCCGCCGCCTTGACCCCTCAGAAGGTACGGCCACTCCTTATCTGGAGAATGGTAGGCACATTTCCCATAACACTATTATTTGCTGAGCTTTTCTCACTTTCTCCTTCTATTCTCCTGCCTTTCCCTTTTCCCTTTTTCGCATTTTTAGCACACATTTTTTTTAGTCATCCACATCCTCCTTCCACAAAACATAGTAGTGAAGCTTTAGAGGAAACATGGCTAGTTCATCTTTTAGAGAATATTCATGCTTTCTCTGTTCACTGAATAGTACTTTTAGAGCTCTTTAGTTTAGATTTTATGTTGCTACCTGACTAATTCACTATTTTTATCGTTAATATTATTATTGATGTTGCTGTACTCATTTTTTTGAGTTTTAGCTATTTTTTATGAATGATTTTGGGCCACGTTTTTCAAGTCTCTTCAATAGTTTTGAAGTTTTAAAAAAAAATAATTCTGAAGATTATATCTTAAATCAAGTGTGGTGTGATTTTGATCTCATGTGTTCATTTGAATATACCTTCATGTCTGCATTTTACCATGAATATTCAAATTCAGATTTCATCCGGGCTTGGTTTTAATTAACACTGTACCTTTATACAATGAGTTTTTCGCTTCTTAAAGGTATAAAACAAGTCACTGGATGGTAAAATTCAGATTTTGCTGCTTTGTTAGACTGAGCTGGTTTTGATCACTCTACTTCAGTACTCAAATCTCTGGGCTAAGCATTAAAACACAATCTAATAACATAATCTCTGCTCATTTAAAAGCATAACATTAGTATTTTCTTTGTCTTAATCAGTCCGTAATTACCATATCAACCAAAGCGCCAGTAATATTTAATGATGCAAGAGAAATCGCATCAAATCCCTGCTCGTGTGAGACAAAAAACCCAGCAAAAAATATTTGTTTTCTATTTCCCTGCTTCTCGCATTAACGTCGGTGAAACGCAGTACAGAAGTAGCGTAATTGAACGTTTGTGCCCTGAGCGCTCGAGTGTTTGGTATGCTGACGTATTGTTTGTCTCTCCGCTGTAGTCGCTTGATAGTAGGTGTGTTTTCCTTAGCAACCGCCTTTAATTAGGAGAGCAATTAAGAAGGTTGAGGCCTCTCCCCTCGTCTGCCTGAGTCCCACGAGACCGAGAGGGAGAAAGAAAGAAAAAACATGGCCCAACCCAAACACTGCCAAGGCTATCCTTCATCAAAGCCCGGTGCTGTAGTCGCTTGATAGTAGGTGTGTTTTCCTTAGCAACCGCCTTTAATTAGGAGAGCAATTAAGAAGGTTGAGGCCTCTCCCCTCGTCTGCCTGAGTCCCACGAGACCGAGAGGGAGAAAGAAAGAAAAAACACGGCCCAACCCAAACACTGCCAAGGCTATCCTTCATCAAAGCCCGGTTTGCAGAGCCGTTTTTATTGTAAATCTTTTTCTAAGCTTCCATTACTGCGTTTACAACCATCGTATAGTTCGGATTTCAGTGGTTTTATTGTGCATGGAGATAGTATGTTTTAGATTTGTGATTTTTACTTTCTATCGTTAGGCCTTGCATACGATATTCACGGTCAAATTTAAATGAATCCGTTCCCTCTCGTGGTGAATTTTGACAGCACTGTAACAAGTGGTGGCGATATTCCTGACAACTCCTTTAAATTTCCGACTGTTTTAAAAGCTCACCTTCTCCTTAAACATGCACCGGCCTCGCAGACGTACGCTCTCACCACTTAGTTACCTGCTGTTTCACCTGCCCCTGATGGCAAATTTGGGCTGTAGTGAATATTACAGCTACCTGTCTAATGTCTGGCCCTTTAAGGGCAACCAGGGGGCCGTTAAACAGAAAGAAAGAGTTTCCTAGCATCTGACAGTTGCCGAACTTGGCGTTTAATCACTTCTTTAAACTCTGGAGAACATTTAAGACTTATCATTCGGCTGAGAAGGAAATATGAGAAAGGTTCAACCTGTCATCTCTTTCCATTCTGGTCTAGAAGAGCTCCTAGCACACATGTACAGGATATATAGTCGTAAAATAAAAATGCATCCATATTTACGGTCAAGTCCGGGCCTGTGCCGCAGATACAGGGTGGTTTAGATTAGAAACACATTCTTGAAAGTGATAAATGCAAGCCGAGAGAGCTCGAAAGCGGCCACAGGGAGGTCCTACCGTTTCTCCTTTCCTCTCACACTTTTATCTAATCATCTAATTCAGGCGAATTTTCCCGGACAGTGAATTTACTCTGCCTTCTGATCTTCAACTTAAAGTAATCCCCTCTCGCATGGCCCAGCGGACCCTCACCGTTGCCGTGCTCTCCGAACACATGAGCCCCTTTCATTATTTACAGCTGGAGAAAGAAACCTGGGGGAGGAGAAAGAGGCAAGCGCACACTATAGGAGGGTTTCTTTTGCGTTAGTGCCATTTAGATACGCCATGCAGAAACATATGTACGAATTCACACAGGCGCGAACGTGTGCGCATGCACTCGCATCCAAAACGGCCCCATCTGCGCATAGCCAGACACAACATACACAATCGACAACCCCCTCCCTTGTCCAAAAGCACATATTCCCAGATTTGGAAACCACCTAGCGTTGGTTCTGCGAATATAGCGATGCACAAGACAGAAAAGAGGAGGAAGACTTTTAGTGCAAGCAAAAGAAAGTCTCTCTTGTGGCGCACACACCCCCTCCGGTCTGGGCCTACAGCTCCGGGTTGATTTGCATACCAAGTGGCGGTAATGTTGTTAGGTTTATGCAATAAAGACGAGCGGTCGGCGTCTGTGAGGCCGTAGCCAGTTAGAGAGGACAGATGGGCCGACGTGAGGTAAGAGCTCTAATCCCATCAGCGCCGGGATCAGCCTGCCATCTGGACATCCCCTGCACAATTACAAGACATTTTACGCGCTGGAACAAAGGAAGGTTGCAGCAGGCAGGATGGGACCTGTTAGAGTGCCTCAATATTGGGGAGTGCAGCAAAGAAGGTGACAAACACGCCGGCCGCCATGTTGCCATGGAAGACGACTCAAGTCTGATTAAAGCTTCACACCAAGACGCCGTGGTGTTCTGTAAACAATACACACGGGAAAACACACACGCACACACACACACACACACACAGTCTTGCTTGTTGACCGTCCACTTCAGCCAGAGGAAGCCCGTCGAAACAAAGCCAGCGATTTCTCTGAGCGTAAAGAACTACCAAAAAATTATTCAATGCATTTATACATCCATGCATGCATGCAGATTCCTTCTTTCAATACTATTTTTTTTATTTTTTTATTTAGCATTCGTCATTATGCTATTATGAACTTTACCACATTTCATTGATTTATAGTCCCAATAACATGCACACATATACTGGATAATATATTTTTTTTAAATAGTGAAACGGTGAACAGTAAACACTTCAAACAATAGTATGCCATATTTTTAAGCACATGATCTCATTATTTTGCATGTGAGTGGCATCCAATCAGCATATTGGAATATTTGTGTAAAATATATATGTAAAACATTTGAATATAAAATGTATTAAATATTTAAATAGAAATAATTTCAAATACATAATATTTGTAATAATATTTTAACATTATTATATTAATATATAATTATTTGTTATTATATTATAGTATTATATTATAGTTTTATATATATATATATATATATATATATATATATATCTGTTCTAATAAAACAATTCTTAAATGTATTGTGGGCGGGGTCTCCTTTTTAAAACTGTTTAATTTAAGATTTTTATATAGTCATATTTTATGATTTATATGATTTTAATACTTCTCAATCATATAGCATCCCATTTTAAATCATTCCTTAAATATATTAATCAACAAATTATTAAAAAAATACTAATATCAAATTAAATTAATAATAATTTATAATATATACTTTTATTTATAAAACTATTATATAAATAATATAAATAAATAACATATATCATTTTAAATATAGTTTTATTTATATAAATTGTAATTGTGTTATTAGTGGAGCTTAAGAAGTACATGAACAACCCCTAACCTTAAGTATTAAATTTGAGCATGTAATATGTCCGAGACCAGCGATACGACTTCTATTATTCACCTTGTGAAGTATTAAACAAGCAAACAAGTCTCCTAGTTTTGGACCCCAAAGAAAATATAGTGACTAGATTATCATTGAGACCTCGGGGTCTCCTTTTTAAAACTGTTTAATTTAAGATTTTTATATAGTCATATTTTATGATTTATATGATTTTAATACTTCTCAATCATATAGCATCCCATTTTAAATCATTCCTTAAATATATTAATCAACAAATTATTAAAAAAATACTAATATCAAATTAAATTAATAATAATTTATAATATATACTTTTATTTATAAAACTATTATATAAATAATATAAATAAATAACATATATCATTTTAAATATAGTTTTATTTATATAAATTGTAAATATTTGTAATATATAATACATAGGATTATAATTATTAAAAAAAACAACTGTGAGACCAGCATTAATATTGCATAAGTTGCGTATTGAATATTTTTGGTGATAAAATGATGTCAGAGTATGTGGGCTGATGAAAATGATGTCAGACACTTTTAATGGAGGGGAACGATTCTAAGCCGAGAGGGCTTCCAAAGAGGCCAGCCATCTTCTGGGCATTATTAATAACCTCTCTGAGACTTTAAAATCTAAAAGCACAATGCCTTTGTTTTTTCCCTGGAAAAGAAATGAAGGGAGTGGGCAGGGAAAGCTGTAAAATAAAATGAAAACAGCTCAAGGTGAAGGGCTACTGTTGCGGTTGAATTGTTGGACAGTATTAGAGGCGTGTTGTTGTATTCGCGCTCTCTTTGCACTGGAGTTCGTATTCAAAAGGTGCTTTGGAGGGGGTGGCGGAACAGAGTCAACAGAGTGAAGTGGAAAAACTGATCAAAGCGCGCAGCACTAAGATGTTAAAGGGGGGTCGAGTCGCCCTGGGCCTCCGACCGCTTACAACTGTGATAGCACCTCTCGACTCCGCAGGGGTGGAGGGGGGGGGGAAGTACAATAATGTACGCTAATAAGCCATTGGCTTACTTCACGACAAAGGCGGGGTCAAGGCCACAACCTCATTTTCTCATTTAAGAACACATATACGGCAGCATTAGCATGATAGCTTGCCGATTTAAATCGTAAACCTACAAATCCCATCTCATCTTCTCTAAAATCTGATTTTAAAGACCCCACAAAGTACTCATTACCAAAAGATAAGAGACCCAGGGAGATTGAGAAAGGGTTGGAAGTTTGTAAACCAAAGACGAAGTTTGCGGATGAAAAGGCTCGACCCAATTAGCGGATGCATGAAAAATCGAAACCCCGCTTTTTTGCGCTCTCTGCCCGTGCTTTGCTCCACAACCTTTTGATTGACTGATCTCAGATCTGTGAAAACCAGACAGATAAATCTACGGTCCTAGCGTGCACAGTGCTTAATCATCAGTAATGGCTGCATTTGGTCTAACGTATCCGTACGGCGGTTTATCTGCTAGATGGGCACTAGGCACATCAGTCAATGTTTTCTTTTCCCTCTCATTGTGTTAGCGAACAGTTTAATGGCTGATTTCTACATGGAAGGTTTGATGCACAAAGCAGGCCTTTTGTCTTTACGTGGCCCAAATCATTCATGCTTTGTTTACTTTAGGGATTGATTATCCCCAGCGTGAGAATGATCTGCATGTGGCTAGCGCGTGTCCGTACAAAAGCGGGATCCTGAGAATTGTGCTTTTTGTCCTGTTATAAGCAGCTACCCCGTGCATAAAGGCCATTAGCCCCAGTGAAGGTTGGACCACTGGAGGAGCCACGGTCATCATCATTGGCGATAACTTCTTCGATGGACTACAGGTCGTGTTTGGCACCATGCTAGTATGGAGTGAGGTAAGACTTTGACATAAAACCATTTTATTGTGAATGAGATATTTACCCAGCCATTTGTTTCTGTAACAGCCTTCTAATGAACTTCATTAGATTCTATAAAAAGTGATTACGTGAAAACTGTGATTATGCACAGTTTATGAAGCCCTGCTTCTACCGGTTTAATGCAATTACGCTGGCGTCCGTTTTATTGTCTCTTTACATTTACTTTTTGTTCATTTCACGCCACATAAACATATAAATAAGAGTGAACTAAAGGGATGCCGAAGCTGCGTCGTAATTAGTTCGGAGCTAATAAAGACTTCAGGTTAGTATGTTCCTTTATGAGTTGATAAAACTGTCTGGCATATATTTGCCGGTTGGAGCCTCAACGAGCCAATCAGCGTTTGTTTATTCAATTTTATTTTATTATTTTTCTTTTCCTAGTCTAATCACAAGAGCAGATAAGGAGTTAGATAAACAAACTGCATGCTAAACAGCCCCACAATAAGTCCACAGAGGCCTCCGCCGCGTTCCTTGCCGAACCGTGAGGTCTTTCAAAACAATTGAACAATTAGGGGTGAAATATCTCAGAGGGGGAAAAACAAGCCAGGGAAAGCAAGGAAAACAGTGAAGGAAAGACATATGGAGGTGATTTTAGCAGGACTCCTGCCCCTTGGCCTTTCCTTGGCTCAGTGTAATCCAAGGTCTGTTTGCTGACATTAACTCTAAAGCGAGGAAAATAAAAATGAAGAAAGTTTGCAGTTTGGTTTTGAATAGCTTCTCCTTGACAGGTTAATGTATGATTCAGGCGTTCGAATTTGTGCAACAATTGGCAGGGTCCTAACCTAGTTTGCCCACTGTCTGGTAATGCCGTATTTCTGAGCTGTGTAAGTAAAACCCCTCAAACAACAAGAAACATTTTTTGAAGAGTTTTGAAGTGTTTTAAAGGGTATAGTTTCTACCTGACAGGCTACTTGACAATTAGAGAAACACTGGTGCTCATTGGTTAAATGTTTTCATTGGATGCCAGTTGTTCAAAACAATGCAGCAATTGGTGCAGTTTGCATGGTCCTAACCAACTTTACCCATTGTCTCTCGTAGCTCATTACGCCCCATGCCATCCGAGTGCAGACCCCTCCAAGACACATCCCAGGCGTCGTAGAGGTCACCTTGTCCTACAAGTCCAAGCAGTTCTGCAAAGGTGCACCGGGGCGATTTGTGTATACAGGTGAGTTCCAGTTGGTTCTCTCACATCTTTGGCTTCATCGTTAAGTGCTGAACCCCATCCGGTGTGGGATGCATGCCTCGGTAACCCAATATCTCCTCCATCTAAGGCAAGGCAATGGAGTTGGGGGCAGCTGCCAACTCCAGTTAATCTCAAACCCTGACAACACTTCTCCGACCCCTTTCTCCTGCACCCTGTCCTCTACTTTGCACAAAAACACTAGTGTTTCTTGTCACCCAGGTTACTCATGTGTGCGTACCTATGTGTGACCAGCTCACAAGGTTGTGCTTTGTGCGGATTTTGGGCCCGCTTGTGTTTTTATGTGGTTTTAGATGAGCGTAATCTCTCCCTCGGTACAGCTGATACTGGAGGTTACACGGTCACACCATGTTTGACCTGGAAGCAGTGTGTCTGATCCCAAATTGAGTAGGACAATGAGATAATCATCAGGAATTACTCTCACACTCAGGAATGTCAAGGCGGAGAGAGAGGGAGGTGAGGAAGGGGCCCCGGTCCCCCCAGGCAGCTGTTCCCCATCTCAGCCCCACAGAGGCTGTGGGCCGATTCTCCCTCCCACATTTAACCCTCTCAGCAGGAGCAGGGCAGAGGCCAACGAGCCCCTGCGATAATGAAACCCGAGAACACGGGGCCGGCTAATACCAGACCTGCTCAGACATTAATGTCTGCCATCGTTAAAGCCACAGAGACTCAGGGACCAAACATGTGCTAATGCTAATAAGCACAAAATAGGGAGTCTGTGTCAAATTCAGCACACATTATAATGTTTTGACGAACCTGTGCGTCATCAGCCCTAACAAAAACTGACTGTGGTAACCATAGTTACCGATCATAGTAAAACTTGGGCTGTGTCCAAAATCAAAACAGCTGCTTTGCTGCCTAGTCAATCAATGACTAAACATGCAGTGTGTGTGTGTGTGTGTTTAACAGACAAGCTTCTAAAGCACTGTCAAGTCTTGTGTTCTAGATTTAAACCAATTTTAAGTTCTTTAGAGATGATCAAATATTTAATTACTTCAATGCTTATTTGGTATATAAATAATAAAAAAAAATAGTTTATATAAACAGTATATACAGACGTTTATACTGTATAATTATATTGCCTACTCAAAGTTTACTGGAGGCCATTATATATATATATATATATATATATATATATATATATATATATACGTTTATACTGTATAATTATATTGCCTATACTCAAAGTTTACTGGAGGCTATTATAGAAGACAAACCAGCGTCTGTCACCTCCACCTTCCCCTGTCTTCATGAGATGTTTGTTGTTTGTTTTCCCTCACTGATCCTTGTTCCTGCTCATCAGTGAGGAGATATAATTACTGGCGGAGATTTTGAGGACTTACTTAATTATCCCCTCGAATTAAAGAAGGGAAGTCACAGACTACACGCCCCGTCCCTCTCATCTTCTGAACTCCAATTCCCATAATGCCTCACCTCCCTCTCTGAGGTCACAAATGACAGGCAAATCAGAACACACACACACACACACACGCTAGACTGGATTCAGTTCATGCTGTTATAAGGCTTTATTAAACTGGTTGACATTTCAAGTCAATTAAATTCCCCTTCAAAGCATATTTATTAATGACTGTTCTTAAACATGCAACCATATCAAAAACAGCTGTTGTAATTATGATTATTTTCTTTTAGTTCATTCTATATTTCTGTTTTTTGTTTCTTCTCTTCTCCTATTTTCACTTCTTGAACCTTTGTAAGTGCTATCGATCGAAACAAATTGCTCAAGTTTATGCCTGTAATTAGTTCATAAACAGATGCTTTGAACTGGAAATGCTAAAAGCTTTCACTAGTTATTGCTCTCTCTCTCTCTCTCTCTCTCTCTCTGTATATTTGCTAAATTGTGTAAAGGCTGGATATTTTACAAAGTCATTAAGAAAAAAAGGTACAAACAGAGTTTTTGTTGGACGTTACAACATTTCATGCTGACCACCCTCTTGTTTCTGAGTCAGACACACCCTCGCTCACATCTGATACATCACAGCCAATTAAATACAGTGCTGTGGCCTCATTTTGCAGGGGCATAGTACATTCAGATATGGGCTTTATCATTACTAGCTTAGAGCAACCATCTGTTGAGTAATGTATGCTGTGATTTCACCATGTACTGTGCCTGAAATAGTTTTTTTTTAATGCATATTTAGGAAGTTTATAAAAAATAAATATATATATATATGTATATATACCGTATAGCATGATGGCTTTTTGTGAGATTCCCCCAGAAAGCTTCATCGCCCTGCAATTGTGTCAGTGCTGAAGGTGTTGTAAAAGGTCCTTCGTGATCGCTCGGATGTGGCAGCAATCGCCTGTCAGAGTGCTGTGCTACTTTAAGAGTCGATAATTCTCCTCCATCACAGCCAACACAAGCCGCCTGTCTCAGAGGTCAATGCTCTTTAAACAAATTACTCTGCTCAGACTCAGGGCTCCTAATGTCCTCCGGTACTCTCCAACACCTCTCACACTTACACAGCTAAACAGCAGTGAAATTAAACACGCCGCAGAGATCCACCAAGACCTGGGGACATTAAAGAGGGCCTATGATGGGTTGTCGGCATCCCGTAAGGTTACGCAAACAGAGGGTCTCGGTAGTTTATGAGCTGCCAGAACTGGGCCTAAAACAATGTGTTATTCAATAGCCGTCCATTAACACTCAGATCTACCGCATGTGTCTGTGTGTGTTAGGCCTATTTACAGCTCCAGGCCGTTAGTGTCTTCATTTAAAAGGAAACACTGCAGTGGTTTATTGAGTCTGCATCCCTTTGTATCCTTCAAAGATCTGTGTGTTCTGTTATTTTTTCAGCTTTAACCTTGTATGTTTGTACGATCGTGTCTTTTGTTAACACACAAGGCCACCGCTGCACCATCTGATACCTGTATTGGTTATCCATTGATCAGGTCTGGCATGGAACAGCTTGTCAGAAGGGTCCATAAAAAGGGGGGGGTGGATCAAAGCAGGATGGCTGTGTTTGTCCCTTTGCCAATAGCTCTCAACTCGCAAATGCTCTCTTTAGCTGATCTGGCTATTTTAAAAACCCTATCCAGATGTTCGCTTTAAATTCCTCATGAAATGGCTTGATGAGTTGCAGTTTTTTCTTGTTGATATATTTTCTATTGAAACGGGAATTTGGGCAAGGATAGGATATATATTTTATATGTGTAATTTAATACAAATAATAATAAATCTAAACTATTATTATATCTATCTCATAGATTTTAAGTACACAATATAATATAAATATACCTTTTTATGTATATCTATCTAATTATAAATATAGTATATATTTCATATGTTTTAAGTACACAATAAAATAAAAATACAACTTTTTATATCTACATATTTTTTAATAGACAATACAAATTGATTTTGAATTATGCCTTAAGCTGCTGTCAGAATTGCCTTTTTTTGGTGTTGTCTTTGTCACTGAACCTTTTTGGCAGGCTCGGTCTCAAAAGTACCTTAAAAATAAGCTGGAACATCCCTATCAACAAAATTGGAATGACAGACTGTCCGTGGAAATACTTTCCGTCTGTCTCTATGACCCAAATTTGGAGGCAGCAATGATCTCCTTTGGCTCCTAACAAGGGGAAAGTGAGAGATATAAATTAAGATATATATGTATGTGAGCGCTCCGGCTCTAATAGACGCTTTAACGGATGCAGGCCTCCTGAGCGCTTTTACAAACGATTCCAAACAATGACACCAGTCATAAATAAAGCTCAACGTCGCACTCTAATTGCATCAAAGCTATTGCTTTCTATTTAGGCATGGTCACTGGTGACCACGACCTTAACGCTCCACTGGAGGCTGGGGAGAGAAAGAGAGAGAGGAATAGAGACGTACGGCAGGAGCTATCACCCCTCCAGACTATTTGTCCTAATCAGCGACACCCATTTACCAGAATTGGCGAAAATGAACTATACTTCATACAGAAATCGTACACTTACCGGCCTTCATTTGTCACGGCACATTCGAGGGCCAGTAAACTTTTCCTTTCCTCCGAAGGGATTGTAGACATGCATCAAAATGTTACAAAATGATTTGCGAGGGAGCCCCGTCAGACATTTATCAGGACTCAGGAACATTATTTGCTAATTTCCAAACCTGCGGCATGACAGGGTGCTCCGTCTTTTAACCCGCCGTGACCGCTCTGGACTCTTTCTGTTATTAGTACTATTTCTCACTTTTTTCACTCCGTCTCAAGACCCCTCCTCGCTTTTTAGGCCACTTCTAACGAGACTCATTTGTCTATCACGCTGGTGACAGCGTCACCCCATTCGGCTTCCCGAGACTTTGACCACAGCGTGCTCTCAGGCTCTCCAAGGGCTCCGAGCTCCCGGCCTGTTGATTGGCCGGCGGCCCTGATAAATCACAAAGTTTCCTTGTCAAGGTGAAGGTATCGACTCAACTGCGCCGAAACTGACAAAACGCACAGAGGAGGAGACGGTCATTTATCATAGCACAAAAGGACAAAGGGGTCATCTCGCCCCTTCACTCACTCGGCCCGTTGCCGCGTTAAAGATGCCCATCTAGATCCTGGCACACATGTACACCAGCATGGAACCAAACGCAGGTCTTCATTAGACTAATTACTGACATTTAGAGGCAATTAACCTCTGACGCAAGTGTTTAAAATTGTAAAGAGTGGATTTTTTCCCTTTCACCTCCCTTCTGTAGTTCCGCAATTGTACTTTAAAAGACTTGTCCGCTTCTAGAGGAAGTCCATTACCGCTCGAAGAGGAAGGTATTCTAGTGAGGTCTTTGTAAGCAGATGGGGAGGGGACAGTTGGAAACAGGAAAGATGGTAAACAAATCTAAACGGTGGCACATGAAACGGCATATCAGCGAATTATCAGCCAGCCGTTTGCACTGGGCTATCTGTCCATCAGACACTTGTCCCCACCCACCTGCCTTTGGCCTCGCTGAGCACGAGCTGTATCTGATAGGACTG